ATTGCTATTAACGTTACTCATTTGCAGAATATCTTCGTATTTTGTCCATCTGATCCCCCTTAATGCTACCTATGGTCCTTTCGCTATCGTCCTGTTGTTTTGGGCTAAATGTTTTAACCTCAGTTCCAAACAGACCGGGAAATAATCGCTTGCGAGAGTATCCCATTCTTCGAAACAGCTCTTGCAGTTAGTGTTTCGGATACCAAAACTAGATCTATTATACTTTTCGTTTGTTCATTATATGAGAAAAGAGTAACTCTTCCATCGTTTGTCACAGTGAGACGCCTTTCACGGGCTATAAGTCGCAGTGATTTGTAGGCTGATATAGCACTTATAGAGTCTTTAAACACCAGTATCTATTTTGAAAACAGAGTATAATTATTAGGGCACGGAACTTTTGTAACAAAACAATACGATTTCCCCCTCCATTTGTTGTGGCCACTCAGTGACGTCTCTAGAAAACAAGCCCAGAAAACTAACCACTGAGAAGAAGTGGAGGGGGGAAATCGTATCGTTTTGTTATAAAAGTTCCGTTCCCTAGTGATTATAAATTGGTGTAGTAAAGACAGTATTATTGCTCAACCAAGTTTCGCTGATTATGATAACATCCTGTGGGTTATCCTTTAAGTAACCATAAAGGCTAGCTTTGTTCCTTACTAACCTTCTAGAGTTCCAGGTCATTACTTTCAATATGTTATCATTCATTGCTACGGATTCTAAACCAATCAGTTGACGAGTAAGTATGTTCATTTGTGATACGGGAGGTTTTATTATTAGCTTGGGTATTAGATTTTGTTAGTTCTGTAGAACTGTTTGAATTTGTGGGCGTTAATAGAGTTCTATTTCCCTTCTCATCGTAAAAAAAACCCGATTTCAAGAAATCACGTGTTTCTGTTAAGAAATTATTACTAAATGTTACATCTGGTTACTGCGGGACAGAAATATCGATGTTTTTGGAGCACAAAATACAGGAACTACAACTCGCTTGCTACACACGAATTGTGAGGTTATGTTAAGTTAAGTTATTCTTCTACTGGTACGGTTTTGGAGTTCGAATTTCCGTTCCACTTCCCATTACACGATATCTTCCTTCTTCAGCTCCATCGAACTGTCCCGTGGTTTAGACAATTTATGAATATATGAAACACACAATAACAAATGGTTATATATACAGGACAACAGTTTAAAATAGATTGATGAGAGGATGATTCTTCTGCTTCTGCTGATTCTCTGACCAGATTTGGAAAGTGATTATAAGTATAAGAGTTGCTTAAGGCCTAGGTTCTAGATCTAATATCACAGTCAGTTTTATATTTCTAAGTATCTAATTATCCTATTTATTGTTTTCTTGCACTTGTTCAGTCTTTCTCAATATTGCATTTTTCTTGCTTTGGGTATTATTATTACAGTCTTATTCCTGAGGAAATGACGTATTTGTACAATAATATATATATTTCGAATGAACCAGTTGCCAATAGAGACTAGCTTAACTCGTAGGCTGACTGGTTTTTCCAGTAGTCCCAACATCAGCTTTTGTCGATGTGCATCTACTGTATGGCATGTAAAGAATATGTGATTTAAGTCGCCTTCTCTTCGTATTCACAATTTGAATTGTCTTTTACTTTAATTTTGTGTAGATAAGTGCACGACCCCGTCTCAGCCTGACAATAAGCGTCGAGAAATATCGTGACACAAAAGGCATCGTTCTGTACCAAGGAACCCTCTGCACTGTCAGTTGACATCTAGCGTATATAACACCTTTGATTCTAGTTGATCTGCTCCATTCCTGTTCCCACTCGAGGTTCAGCTCCGTTTTGATTTGATGATATAACTCTTCTGCGTGAATCCTTATTTTGAGAGTTTCTTTGTGGTGTCCCTTGTTTGCCAATTCATCCGCCTTCTCGTTTCCCTTGATACCGGTATGTGCCGGAACCCAGACCAGGGTTATCTCCATATCCAACTGGTGTATTTCGTACATTAGCTTGATAGTCTCGGTTATGTATGGATGTAATTTGGTTCTGAAATTACAGTTTTTTATTTGTTCCAATGTGCTACGAGAATGAGGGCCTTGGTGATAGATTTCTCCCTTACAATTGTTAGTGCTGTAAGTATTGCGTATACCTCAGCAGAAAATATTGTTACTTCGTCAGGTAGATGATAGTACTCCTCTATCTCCAGGATGGTGGACAGTGATCCATCTGTGTATATGTATTGGAAATCCCGCCATTTCTCCGCGATGTATGATTCTATCTCTCTTCCTATTATTTTACCAACCTCAGCGCCCGTTCCAAGACTCTTGTATGAGCCCGGTGTAAAACCTATTGACGATGTGAATTTCCTGATATTATTTTATTTTATTTATTTATTTATACAAATGGATACAGAACGGGACAAACCCTATAATACTGCATCACAACATTGACATAAAGAAATCAAACAGAAATATCAGCGCAATATAAGCCAGAAAAAATACATACAGAGACGCAAACCAAATGAAAATTATACAAAAAATATAAAGCAAAAAAAAATATATATATATGTATATAAGTAACAATTGACGAGTGAAATTCGATTAAATTCCGATTAAATTTAATGTAAAATTAGACAAACTATAATCAGACCAGTCCGGTCGGCGAGGCCAGTGCAGCAGTCGTAACCATACGTCTAAATACCGGATACGTGTACCGAAAAATGTCAATTGGGAAACGATCAGCCGCTCTTGCCATTCTCATCATTGGGGAGTGGAGGAACGCATTCGTACGCGCAGCCGGAGTGAAGAACAAAAAATTATATCGCAAATTTCTCGGTGCAACGTGAATATTAATCAAGCTAACGAGCCCGGCGCAATCACAGTCATTGTTGAGAATTTTGAAAAAAAATAGCAAATCATTGCAGGTGCGACGCTGATGGAGGGACAGAAACCGTAAAGAAGCACAAGTAGAGTCGTAGTCATCATACACTAGATGAGATTTATAACACAAGTACTTCAAAAATTTTCTCTGCACCCGCTCCAATCTATCGATATGTATGTGGTAATGAGGATTCCACACAACGCTACAGTAGTTTAGAATACTGTAAACATAAGCAAAATATAGTGTTTTAATTGCATTTATGTTAGAAAAATGCTCAGTAGACCTAATAACAAACCCCAACATGCGCCAAGCTTTATTAACTACTCCATCAACGTGCTCTCTGAACAACAATTTCTCATCAAACATGACTCCCAAGTCCCTAATACAGGATACTCGTTGTATACCATCCCGATCAAAGTTGTAATCGAAATGAATGACTTTTGATCTTCTACTAAAAGTAATAACATTGCATTTTGATCGGTTAAGCGTCATGAAATTAGTTTCGCAATACCGTTGCAACTAGGAGACGTGATACGTAGAAAAAGTTTAAGGTCGTCAGCATACATTAAACATTGAGCATGTTTAATAACAGAGAAGATATCGTTAATATAAATAGTAAAAAGTAGCGGACCAAGGTGACTGCCCTGCGGGACCCCAGATGGAACCTGAATAGGGTCGGATAGATAACCATTCACTGATACAATCTGAGTTCTGTCCCGGATATAAGATGCAATCCAACAAAGTAAATTGCCATTAATTTCAAATTTTGCCAGCTTGTTCAGCAGAAGTTCATGATTCACTCGATCGAAAGTAGTATTATATTCCATGTCATAGATGTTGTTTGTCTCCTCTCTATATATGTATGGGATAGTAGAGTCATAGGTCGAATAATATTTCTCTTTCTGGTAAACATCAGCGATTTTGTTTTATACGTTGATATCTCTAGTTGACAGTCGCTTAAAAATTTGTTCAGAGACTCCAATGCCCTGTTTACCTGGTCTACTGCTGTTTCTGCGCTCTTTGAACTACAATATATAACTAGATCATCTGCGTAGCTTACTGCGTGGACGTCAAACTCTCTCAATTCCTGTTCGAGGGAAGACATATAGATATTGAATAAGATGAGGTTTAGGGAACTGCCTTGCGGGAATCCCTTATAACTTACCCTTGTTCCAACTTTGGAGCGTTTTTTAATTTCAGGTGTTCAATTTTCTGCGAATAGTTGGTGAATAACTCTAACGATGGGATACGGGATACCAATCCTTTGCATTATTTGAATTAACGTGGGAATATAGACATTGTCATAACATTGGAAAAGCCAATCGTATGTCTGACACCAATGCTGTTACGGCGTGATGCACTTTTTTAAAACCAAACTGAAGTCCTTCGAATATTCTCTTATTTTCGCACCACCATTCAAGCTAGTTAGCCACCATGCGTTCGAAGCTTTTCCTAACTTGTGAGGTTATAATCGTAGGTACAATTGGGTACAATAGAGACTTGAAACTATAGCTAAGTTCAGGTCGGTATATCCAACATGTCTGACTTTCTGATTACCCCCACCACCATCACATATGCACTCTAGATGTTGTAGATAGGCAACCGTATTACCATTTAAGTTAAGTTAGACATATAAGTATGTAAAGAGAGTTTTAGATATAGGTTATGAAATAAACGGTTATCGTGACTAGGTGTTTTTTATTTTAAGTGTTACTAAATATTAATACTAAATATCAAATATATAAAACACTAGGTTATATATAAGGCCTCAATGGATTCATGTTTTATTTCCATTGCGTCAATTTTCCTGCATACGGGCAATATGCAGAAGTTTTTCATCATTCACAACGAATAAAATTTGAAGTTTGAAGAATCATATGTTGTTGCAAAAGTCATAGAAGATAGAACATCTGGGCTGGAACATTTTGGCACAGGAATGTAGTCGGAATGAGGCAATGGTCTTTGGCTAAAACGCCAAACCTTTGAAGGTATTACTATATTGTCCAAGTACTTTCACTCTGATTTGAAATTTCCAATGACCCCGAAAATGTTCCATAGTGTTATCTATATTAAATATTCTGATTAAATATGTTCGGACACTGTTACCATCGTTACTAAATAATGTCATTAAGACATCAAAAGAAAAATAACCAATTATAAATACATCACGAAAAGTATGAATTAATGGCAATTTTGATTTTATTAATTCAAATTTTAATGATAAACGTTTCTTGTGTTAAATCCAACGATGAAATGAACACGACACTAATCGGTTCTTGCACCCACCGAATCTTTTGTAACGACCAAGTGTTATCGGCCATCCAAAACGCCGATATCTATAACACATTAAAAGAATTCTTGGATATGAGTATCATGGAGGGAGAAACCGTCGATTCGATCTTAAAAAGTTTCAACGAATTGATGAAAAAGCACAACGGGAAACCATCAAAATACGATATGCTAGCTTTCTTGGAAAGTTATTTCCACAAATTGCAATTACTCGAAATTTGGCGCCCGGATGATTACAAGGACACCCCGAAAATCATCTCTCAGATCAAAAACGTCGAATTAAGAACTATGGCGCGGAAAATAATCGAAACTTGGCCCCGATTAGGACGAAAAATCAGAAAGACAGCTAAGGATTCGCCCGAATCGCATACTTTGATTTACGTTCCGAACGGTTTTATCATACCAAGTGGGAAATTTGAAGAGTATCATTATTGGGATATGTATTGGACCGCGAGAGGGCTTTTATTATCCGATATGGACAAAACGGTGCGAGGAATTTTAACTAATCATTGTTATTTATTAAAAAAATTCGGTTTTATACCAACCGGAGGTCGAATTTATTACATAAGTCGATCAAACCCTCCTCTTTTAATGAAACTAGCCAGGGAATATCTCGATAAAACCGGCGATTTAGACTGGTTAAGACCCAACATACCCTTACTAGAAAAAGAATTATTCTTTTGGATCAACAAACGCTTCACTATCGTTACCATCAATAAAAAAACATACAGCTTAGCCCAGTATTACGTTAACAGTACTGGACCAAGACCCGAAGAATATCATAAAGATTTAAAATTAGCTGATATTTACCAAGAGGATATAGACAAAGAAACCTTTTATAATGAAGTGAAAAGTGCTGCTGAAAGTCGTTGGGAGGACTCGACTCGGTTTTATCGTAGCCTTAGAAAATCACAGTTCGAAAACGCTTCTATAATTTCAGTTTCGAAAGTAATTCCGGCCGATTTAAACGGGATTCTTTACGGCGCTTTCAACGACATGGCGCAAATGTACTCAAAAATCGGCCAATTGCAGAATAAAACTGCGTGGACTCAACGAGCCGAGGAACTAAAAAAAGCGATTAACTCTGTGTTATGGGACGAGGAGGATGGAATTTGGTACGATTACAACTTAATAACGAAAAAGCGAGTGCGAATGTTTGCCTGTAGTAACTTAGTACCGCTTTGGACCAAAGTTTACGACGATGATAATCAGGAATTTATCGGTAAACGAGTTAGCGAGTACTTAATTCGTAAAGAAATCGTTAATTATGTTGGGGGAATACCCCCGACTAAAAAAGGTTTTGGGAATTGGGATTATCCTTTCGTTTATCCCTATCACCAATACATTATAGTGCATGGTTTGAAGGATACCGGCGAAAAACAAGCTTTGGAGCTGATGCACACTTTTGTTGATAATTTTTTGAACGCTTGTATTATCGGGTTTAAATCCACCGGAATGCTTTATGATAAATACCACGCCGATATACCTGGACGGTACGGTGGTGGTCGTGATTTTGAACGTACGAGCGGTTTTGCTTCGACAAATGGGGTTGTGTTGGACTTTATTGATATTTATACTACTTCCGGGTTTAAAATGAAGCGTTATAATCGTAACTTAAGAAATATAATTGTATTGTTATTTGTAAGATGTTTCAATATTTAATTTAGGAATTATGATTAAAAAATTTTCGAGTATATAAAAAAATGTTACATACTTATTCTAACTTACTCATTAGAAACTCTGTCGTAAGTAGTATAGAAACGAGAGTTCTGGACTGGAACGTGACGCTGCAATGTTAGAAGTATAGGGAGGGGTGCCAACCTAAATCTGGGGGAAAAAAGTAACTAGATTTAGGTTGGTACTCAACCGGAAGCCCTGTGACGTCACGCTGTAATGTTATAGGGGTGCCAACACAAAATCTGGGGTGAAAAAGTTACTAGATCTGGTGACTTTATATTACGCTACCTTGGTAGTGTGACTAAAAAACCCAGGAGATTGCTGTACGCGGAAACGCCACCTGGCGGTGGAACTCATATATTTCGGTGGGTGGATAAACTTCTGTAAGGCGCGCGACCACCTAGCGATGGGCATTCCACCTAGCGGTGGACAGTTGAGCGGGGGGGTGTTGCCTGATGAGCGATAGATGGCGCTTGTAAATTTTAAAAATTCATTCGACGTCATGGTAAAGTTGACATTGTTTCTAGCATTTCTGGTTATACCGGAAGTCGCCATCTACTTTATTTTTTTAAATGGAACACCTGTGTATTTTTACATACAGTACAAGCTCGATAGTGTGAACGCAAAAATACCAAGGACCATTCATGTTATAGGGGGTGTTCATACAATACGTATTTTTATGTACTTGTAAATAAAAATAATAATAAAGAGCTTATCAAAAGCTCTTTATTTCACAAAGAAAGTTAACATACATAATATGTTTAACGAAATAAACATTTATTAAAAACATAACAAAAAGTAAATATCTATATATCTCCTTAAGAAAGAAAAAAGTTGCACATGTACATAGTATGTACATATGTATTGAACATGTAAATATGTATTTATTTTAGGTCTGAAAAAAATGTGTAATTTTTTCTGAATCTTTTTAGATTGAATATTCAAAAGGACAGCCTCTTCTGATATATTTTGAAGCAATAAATTTTTACTTATGTCAAGATTATTTTCTTGAGCCCATTGCACTGCTAAACCCAAAGCTTTTGCAGCAGCAGCATGTGAAACACGCTGAGGATCTAATTCTGCTTCCTCATCCTCAGGAATTTCATCGTCGAAGATTTCGATTTCAGATCCATCTTGACGATCTTCATTCCATATTTCTATGTCTTTAGATGTGTTACCATAATTTATTTCATTACGTAGTGTAACTGTGTCCTTAAGTGCTTCATTGTAGTCAATCTCTTTAGCGGCATTAATTTGCTTCACAATTGCCGATAGAGGAATATCATCTTCGTCCGGTTCGTTACATTTTAAAATGTTATTCCAATATTTACGAATTATATCAGGATTAAGTTTATTCCACCCAATCGTCAGATGCATTATAGTATCCTGTATTGTTAAAAGTTTCAGACTCTCTGTTAATTGACCACTTTTTCCTACAATTGAACTTAAAAGGCTTTTCCTATAGTAAAGTTTTATTAATTTTCAAACGTTCTGATCTAGCGGTTGTATTAATGGTGTGACATTGGGAGGCATGAATATTACGAATATCATTCCATCGGCTGTTCTTAGCTTCTCTTTTGGTGGGTGACTAGGAGCATGATCTAGTAGAAGAATGGCTCTTGGAGGCAACCCATGGGATTTTAAAAACTTCTTTATCTACAAATGCGTAAGGGAATGTACCTTCCTACCATAAGCTTACCTCAGGGACAAAATTCTCAAAAAACCACTCCTTAAAGATTTCACAAGTCATCCATGCATTTATTGAATGTTTGTAATTCACAGGATTTTGGAATTTACTTAATGCTCTCGGGTTCCTAGATTTTCCAATAATAAGAGGTGTCAATTTATGTTGGACTGTAGCATTTGTGCAGCCTAAGAAAGTTAATTTTTGCTTTGCAATTTTTAACCCTGGGGCTGTTTTTTCTGATAAAGAAACGTAAGTCTTTTCGGGAAGGAGTTTCCAAATTAATCCCGTCTCATCTGCATTATATATTTGTTGGTGACTTAAATTTAGTTCTTGTGTAATTCTGTATAATTTCTGTTTAAATGGGTCGACCAATTCCGGCTGAGAAGATAATTTTTCTCCCGTTATTTTTAGAAATCGAATGCCATAACGGGTCTTAAATCTCTGCATCCAATCATCACTAGCTGTAAATGTTTCGTTTCCACATAAATTAAACTTATGTGCTTTAAATAAATAAGCTAAATTACGCTCTCTTTGTTTAAGAAACCATTTGTAAAGTTCTTTTTCCATTAATTTGTATACAGATACCTTCAAGGTACGTCTTTTAGAAGGATTTAACATATTGTCTACAGCTTCTAAAATGTCATCTTTTTTCTTTTTTATTAAACAAACAGTTGATTTTGAAATACCATATTTTTTGGCCAATAACGATACTGTCATACCTTTCTCAATTTAGTTAGGAACACATTTGGGCGTGTTAATCATCTGCTTATGTTACTGAATTCTTGGCCTCTCCATCCGAGGCTCCTATTTCTTCTTCACTTTCTTACAACTGACTTTGTCTTTTCATATATTCTCCTAGTTTTGTCCAGGAATATCTTCTTCTGCTATTTGCTCTTGCCCTTTCTCCTCAAAACGTGTGTTCCATCCATGTCGTCCCTTTTCTCCACAATACATTTTCTGCCCTTTTATGGAGGTAAAGGTGGGCTTTAAAGCATCCATGTCCACTTAAGAACTGTGCAATGGGATAGTCAACCACAATGTTATTTCGGGCATCATTCATTTACTCTAGTCCGCCTTTCCAGAATTTTCTTCCCACATTGTCTTTATCTCTTTCTCTATATCTTTCGTATCCTCTTTTCTGGGTGACCCCAAAACAACCCAATAGATCCTAAAGTAATCTTACCATAAAGAATCAGATCTAACTGATGCAATGGGATAGTTAACCACAATGTTATTTCGGGCATCATTCATTTACTCTAGTCCGCCTTTCCAGAATTTTCTTCCCACATTGTCTTTATCTCTTTCTCTATATCTTTCGTATCCTCTTTTCTGGGTGACCCCAAAACAACCCAATAGATCCTAAAGTAATCTTACCATAAAGAATCAGATCTAACTGATGCAATGGGATAGTTAACCACAATGTTATTTCGGGCATCATTCATTTACTCTAGTCCGCCTTTCCAGAATTTTCTTCCCACATTGTCTTTATCTCTTTCTCTATATCTTTCGTATCCTCTTTTCTGGATGACCCCAAAACAACCCAATAGATCCTAAAGTAATCTTACCATAAAGAATCAGATCTAACTGATCTAATAATGAAAGTAATGTCCTTTTCTGGAAGTTGAAAACTTCCAGACTTCCTTTTTCATTTGTATCACATTTCTTCTTATCTTTCTATAATAATTCTGATAAGAATTATTGAAGATTTGAATATGGTTGCAGAGATAAATTTAAGAAAAACCCAAACGAATGAAAATCAAAAGCTGTGTTAGACTTTGAATGACTCAAAGTTTGGTAAAAATCGAGGTTATTCTTTTTATAATTAATCCAAACACAATTCTTTGTCGATTTTGTTACATATTTTTTCATAAAAAAGTACTTAAACGTAATTACATCCAAAAAGCTTTGTATCACAACTCATAATATCTCACCAAAATAAATAAAATTAAAATGTTTTCATTAATATAACCTAAAGTAAGTGTAAACAATTTTAGGATATTCCTTGATAATCGTTATTTTAATGGATTTCGAATGATCACTTATTGTTAGTGTATTGTTAACATTTCGAGTAAGATATTGTGTTGTAACAAAAATGGTGGAGCTAAATCATAATCGATTAAGACATATTAAAATGTTTTTGTTTATAACAAATTTTTTTGGGATAACCCCACCGCTGGATAAAAAATTTCGACTCAAAACGTACTCAAAAAAACTAAGAATTCTCTACTTAATTCTAATTTTGTTAACATTTGTTTTAACCGCAATGGGAAAAAGAAGATTTTTATACATTTACGTCGGTGGAACAATCGCCTTTTTGGATTTAACCCCCGTAGCAGCATACACAACGTGTGTAATCATTAATATTGTTAAAAACACCATAATTAATCCAAAAAAATATCAAAACATTTATCGCACTTTATACTTAATCGAGGAAAAACTTTCAAAGTATGATATAACACGGACACAAATTTTGTTTCGAATCCTCCCAATTTATTTTTCTTGTATATTTCATGTTATAATTCAAATAATTAACGTGAAAGTTTGTAGTGATTTAACACAAAGTTTGGATTTTTGTTTGATATTGTATTTACCCTCGGATCTGTATAAAATTGGATTTACTTTTATGTACGGGCAATTACACAGTTTACTTATTTATTTAAGAGAAAATTGTAGCGATTTATCCGCTGCTTTTAAAATTATTGGTTCATCTAAAAATTTTACAAAACGAGATGAAATTCAACATGTTATTGAAATTTACGATCTGATTTGCGATGTGATGAAGATGATTAATGAGCTGTTTGGGTCAACAATTTTTCTTCTCTATGTGTATTCGTTCATCACTATTTTATTCGGATTAAATCAAATTTTTACGGTTGGAGAATTAATTTTTAAGTTTGAAAGGAAACAAATTGTTATGTACGTTGTGGTGTATGTTTCAATGAGTGTTGCTGGTTTTGTAAGAATTAAATTTGATTATATCTTGTGTTAATTAAATTTTTTTTTAGTTGATACTAATTTTATCATCGATTACTTCTCAATCGATTAATAATGAGATGATGGATTTATCCTCGCTTGTGTTGAAGACAATCGTTAAATTAAAACGGGAAAATCCCATTTTGGAAAGAAATTCGAGAGAAATTTTATTAATTTTATCAAATAGAATTGTTTATCATTCTCCGGTCATTTCTGCAAATGGATTTTTTAAACTCAATAGAACGTTATTATTTTTATTGCTCAATAATATAGCTTCTTATCTCGTTGTTTTAATACAATGGAATAACTCTAAAACTGTTATTGATTTTAAATCAGAAATTTGAGTCTCGATTGGGAATTTATCACGGTCGGAATAATAAACAATGTGCAAAGTTATTGCAGTTATAAACATTTTTAATCCCCTTAAAAGCGATCTTTTATCTCCTCCCATCAAAGAAATCAACAAGAGGTACTCATGGGATCCCACAACGATTCTATCTCAAAATAAACATGCCGCCTTAGTGGCATTCAAACAACCCTAATAATAAAATAAAAGCCAAAAAATTCCCCCTATTTTTATCCATAGTGTCCTAAACCACCAGCAACTACATATTCACTACTACTTACAAAAATTTAAATACCAAAGTAAAGCTAACCCATGCTGATGATTACAGAGCGGTCACCAAATTCTACAAAGAAACAAAATTCCTTTCCATACCTATCAAGATTCCTCCAGCAAACCTCCTTCTGTGATTTTATGCAATGTCCCGATATCAATATCCGATCAAGAAATCAAATCCGAACTGAATCAACTAAAGCTACGAGTCATAAGAGTCACGAGATTGCTCAATAAGTCGAAATACCCCAATATATTACCCCATATTATGCGTAGCAGACTTAAAAACCACAGAGAACGCCAAAGAAATCTATCAAGTCAAGGAAATTTCCAACGCAATCATCACAGTCGAAGCCATAACTGCCAACGATATGGACATACGAAAAATTACTGCTCAATGAGTCTTAGGTGCATCAAATGCGGTGAAAATCACAACCACAGTAATTGCAAAAAACTTCAAGCTGATCCACCAAAGTGTGCCAATTTTGGCCAAAATCATCCAGCAAGCTATTGAGGCTGTAAAATTCACATCGAATATCAGAACAAATCCCATCGTCAAACAACTTCAGTCCATTTTGCGCAAAGAACCCAGAGCTCACTAATATCAGGAGCTACGCATCACAACCAAACCAACAACAATTCTCAGAATCACAGACACCTCTCCTATCTTAAAGATTTCCTTGTTTTCCTAATACCACAAATCAAAACATTCGTAATTAACCATTTACTTCCACATTTAATTCACGACGAAATTTTATTAAAAAACAACGAACTCTTCTTACTGCGTTTTTGGCTCGCTATCAGATTGATGTAGCTTGTATCACGGAAACACAGCTAGCTCCAAGTGAGACTTTCCGAATAGCAGGATATAATGTATATAGAGCGATTATAATTAAAAGACAAATTCAACAACATCAATTTAGCTGTAAAACCACCGCTATTGAAGTAACGCCAATAGCAATCCAAACAAACACCTCAACTCCAGTTAATACAAACAACCTAACAAAAAACTACAAGAAACTGGCATAAGTTCAATGTTGAGTAGCTCTATGCCTACCCTACTTATAGGAGATCTTAACAGCAAGAATAAACTCTGGGGATGCAGAGCAGATAATCCATCGGGACTGAATCTGGAATTATTAGCAACCAAATACGGTTTTCAAGTGCCCAATCTATTTTACCTACTTTCCATATAGAAGCGGATATTTTAGATATAGTAATAACCAAAAATTTTACCATCCAGTTAAATCTGTGTGTAATCAGCGAGTTAAACTCGAATCATTTGCCAGTAATCATCACCCTTGCAAAACAAACCTAAAATTACAAAGCTGATCAATGGATTCATCAACTGGGCAGAGTTTGGAGACTCACTGAATAATCAAGAATTCAACTTACCAACATCAGCTACTTCGAACGAGTTAGACGCAAAAATCCGTTCGCTGTCTTCAAAGATTAAGGAAGCAACTGTCTCTTCAACGAAACCCTTCAAAAGGAATCCTACAAGCAATTACAACCTTCCCCCTAAGAACATCTTAGACATAATCAAGGAAAAACGGAGGGTTCGCCGAGAATGGCAACAGATGCGTAACCCAGAAATAAAAACTACACTGAATAGACTATAGAATACAATTTCTATAGAATCAACAATTATAGAAAACTCATCGAAAGTTTTGAAGCAAATGACCCGGGCTTGTGGAAGACCACTAGGAAAATATGAACTAGGACATATGAAGAAATACTTACCCTATTAGTCAATGAAACATCTGTATTCGTTACATTACCACAATCCAATAATATAATGAATCCCATCTACTAACTTCAGCAATTACCGAGACCGACAGAATCTGAGTAGAAAACCTAAAGATATAAATAGCAAACCTCGCCATTAAAAAAGCTCCAGGCCTAGATCAGATACCTAATATAGTAATAAAACACCTTCCGGAGAAACTACTAAATCACATCATAGGAATTTTGAACCGCTGTTTGGAAATTGGCTACTTTCCGGTAGTATGGAAAAAAGCGCAAATCCTAATGTTCAGAAAGCCAATTATCGCCTAATCAGTCTCCTCTCACCTTTATCTAAACTATTCGAACGAGTCATCCATCATCGACTACAAGAAGAGTTAAG